CTTTACTTTTATTATTTATCATTGTATCATAAATTTCTACTGAATTATTTGTTTTTGAATTAGGCTCATCTATAATATTTTCATTTTTTGATTTACCATTAAGTAAATTATTAATTGGTATAATTTGATTGGTATTAGGATCAATGTAAGGTCTATTGTTAGATAATTTACCAAATTTAGAAATCTGATCTTCAATATTATCGATTTTTTTAAGCAATTGCTCTGACAATTTTTTTATGGAATCATCGAAAACTTTATTATGAATATTAAATCTTACTTTATCATCATATATGTTTTTGATGACATCAGTTTCTGTTTCAATATTTCTATCACTATTTACATTGCTAGAAACTTTATTATACATAGTACTACCAGTATTTACAATAAAATCGTCACTTTTTTTGGGTGGTATTGTTTCCCATAAATTATTATTCGAATCACCAGCCTCAATATATTTTGTGCTAAACTTTGGTAACATGTAACCATAAGGGTTATAATYTTCGTTTATTAAACTATGGTCAGATATTAACGGTAAATTATGCTTGGAAGAAACAATAGTTGATGATGTGTAATGATTAACATTATTWTTATCATTAATTAATTTTATTGGTTTATCAGTGTGATTTAAATCATAATAACTACCATCAAAACCATCATGTGTATTAATTTTTGGATAATCGTGAGATACCAAAAATTCATCTTTATCCATAATATTTTTCTCAAAATTCTTAAGGTTTTCGTTCTTGGAGTGTTCAATATTAGTTGTTRTTTGTGAATCAGAAATCTTAGCATTATCACCATCATCATTGAAATAAAGTTTTTCCATCTTTGACTTAAAATGATTTGTTAGAGGTATATTATGAACAATACTATCCTGAACTTTTTTCATATCGAAAGGTGAACCATTCGATACTCGGTCTGTGGTGTTAGGAATTGTATCCAACGCCGGCATCGTAGGAATGGATATTTCATTAGATTTATCATACTTAGTCTTGTCCTTTATAAAGTCCTTAATATACGGCAATTGGTCATTTGGTAATTCATCGATAGAATTAAATGTATTCAATATTTTATTTTTTTTTGGTTTAATTCTATCGTTTTCATTGTTAGGAATTAATTTATTCTCAACCATTTTATCGTTTTCTTGATTTTTA